CAGGGAGTCCAGAGCTGCTGCTGCAAGTCAGCAGCAGGATTTCTATTTGCCCTTATTACTGCAATGTAAAAAAGTAGGAAGGTCACATTTGAAACAGTAGCTGATATTTCACTCTGTCAACATGGTGTATTTAGTTAAAACGCTGATGGCTGACCTTCCCTCCACAGCAGCAGAGGCTGCAGCACACAACGCGAAGCTGCAGCAGCTCCAGAAGTAAGCAGGCTGACGTGTCCATGAGGGCACATTCTGTATTTTCAGCAGGAATTTGCACAGTCCAAAGCACCCAAAAGGGCCATCACAGTGACAGCTGGCAGAGAAGTCAAGGCTTTCCCTGGGGAGGGGTCTGGTGCCTGAATGACCCAGGCACCCCACCAGCTGCAGGTGAGGCACAAGTGTCCCCTGTTTTTGAGGAAAGCTCTGGGTGGGATGCTTCACGCACTACCTAGGCTCAACATGAAGCAAATGCCAAAGATGCTTGGATTCCACAGGTGTCCCTCGGTGCTCCTTCCTGCTGTGGTGCCAGCACCTGTTCCCATGCCCTGTGACTGCTGGTGGCTCTGTGGCCAGTAGAAGGCAAAAAGCAAAACTGTATGGGTGAGTTAATGCAGACACAAACAAAGCCTTTCATAGGAAAAAGGAGGAATTTGCAGCAGTTGCAGCCACGAAGACACCAGTTGTGTCTCTGTGTGTGTAAAAGTCTGTTTCATCATAGGTGGCTGAACAGAAGTGCAAGTGGCTGCCTGGGGTGATGCTGAGTGCTGTGTGAATTCAGGGATAAGGTGTTACAGGGATTGCCTTTTCTTAAGTGATGAAGTCTGACCAGTGAAGCCTTCTAGGAAAACCTTCTAGAAAAGTGGGATTACTTTGCTTTGTATCATGCAGTTATTTCCCTTTTTATGTCTTAATGAACTCTCAGTATATAACTAGCATTTTTTTGCCTGCGTCCTGGGTACCAGATGTAGAAGATAGACTCATTGTCGTCCCTTGCATCTGCAGACCCAGAGATATGTCTTAAAATGCAGGTGGGTTTCTTCAGCCTCAACGCTTTCAGCATCACAGGCCACCCCAGAGACAAAAAGGCCAAACCTCCTTAGCCACAAGAAAGAGAAAAAAACAACAGCAGAGAGGGAACAGCTCTTGCTCCCAGCAGGCACAGAGGAAGAGAGACTTTCTGCTTCCCCTTGCGTCAGTGAGCAGCTCCTCTGCAAGTCCTGGGGCATTGCCTTCTCACTGCAGTCCTGAGCTACCCCTGTTCTGGCAGCACTTGGCCCCACGCTGTTGTTACTCAAAGCATGGTGTTCCCATTTAATGAAAGAGGTGCTTGGTACTCATAGTATGCTTTAGCTCAGACACTGCTGGTGTGGTAGGTTTTCCATTTAATATTCTCAGCTCTGATAAAAATAAATAAATAAAAAGAAAGGAATTAATGTTTAGGTCAAGAACTATTTGCACACAGCTTACTGGTAGCAGAGTTTCATAAGCAGAAGGAAGTGAAATCTGACTGGTTTCAATGAAACATGTACATCTGAGAGTTCACCTGCAAGTGAAGGAGAATTCCTGCACACTGAGCTGAGCCAGAAGGGCTCAAGGCTCTCAATATGCTGCAGAAGTCAGTGGACACCTAACTGAGCTTTGAAAAATCAAGCAGGCTGTACCTTTTTCTGAGAAAAACAGAAGCCAGCCTTGTTTCAGTCTGGGTAATAGGTCATTTAAAAATTGGTCATCTCCAAAATGCAATCTTTCTCATTATAAATTAATACTTTTTGTTTGTCTTTCTGCTTTATGAATCTTTGTCATGGAGATCAGGTGTAATTTCTTCTTCATAGGCTAGAAACCAAGCTCTCATATTTCACATGACATCACATTTTAACATAGCTTAAACCACTGACTCTGCTCTTAGCACCAGCCACACCTCATGGATGCACAGGAATCCCTCTGCATTTACCCACCGCTAAACTCACAGCATTAACTCCTGCCCAGATACACCCACAGCACATGGTAGCAAGTTTCCATGAGCACTTAACTGCAGACTAAAATCATCCATCAACAGTGCTGAACGCTTCAGAAAGAGGTCATTTTGCAAACTGTTTTGTTGAGAGTGACTACTTTTCAGCACGAGCAGGCAAGGTATTGCTGGCAGCACAGGAGGCAGTAAGAGGAGAAGGGAGCACTCTGTCTCTCCTGCACTTTTCCTCATCAAAACAGGTGATCTCTGAACCCCGTGAAGGTGTTGGCAGTGTCAGGTGGCAGTGACAGTGACAGTGTTACATGCGTATTTATGTACATCAAGCAGGGCTTGAAGGGCCTTAATAAGTGTAAAATGGGTTTTATGTTCACAGTAAGTTGTTCAGTAAGATAATGTCTGCAGCTGAGGTGGCCATCAGCATTTAGCAGCACTTTCAGGTACAGATTCTGATATTAGAGTTCAGGAATTGGGCTCCATGATCCCTATGGGACCCTTTCAACTCAGGATATTCTATGATTCTATGATTAGAGATCATCTTGCTGGTGCTCGGGGACATGCAAAGTGCTGTAGGACAAGCTAGTTCCTTGACAAAAACCACGGGCAGCCCCAACCCAATCCCAGCAGCTGGTTCTGTTGGATCAGGGAGGCTTTGCTCTATCTCCGCCCTCTCCACCCTCCCAGCGCGTCTGTTGCTTTCTAGACTTCAGCCCCACTTCTGAGCCAAACCCACAACAGGATACAGAGACTTTTGTTTTGTAAGTTGACCTAAAACTGACAGTAATGATTCATTTTTAAACTTACCTACCCTGAGATAATAAGTAATTCACTTGCCAATGGGTGGCCCGTGTGAAGGTAATGATTATTCCCTGGTAAAATGCCTGCTTACCAAGCTTTGATTTTACTCAGAGAAAGGTAAAAGCAGATCTTTAGGAACAACTTGTCAAGTGTAAAAAGAAGATGTTTTTCTCTGCTTTAATTTCTACTAATGATGTGAAATAATTCCCAGAAGTAAAACCAAAATGGCTGGCTCTGACACATTAGAAAGAGAATCATTTTTATAAATTACATTTAAAAGTGAGATTCTATCAAAACTGATGCATGTCTGTGAAAGGCCTGGCTTCAAAGAAATTGTGATTTCTGAAGGAAAAATACTGCCTGGACATGACTGTCACTATCAGTGCCCCTCCAGCTTCTCTACCTCCCTCTTTGCTCTCCATATTCTTGAAAATAGAATGACTGTTCCACACCAGGAGCACCAGTGTGCAACACTCATGGCCCAAACACACCAGCAGGATCAGACCCTGCCACAGACCAAGGCTCAGAGACGTATGGTTTCCTAATCCCAAATGCAGTTTCAACATGCATGCATGGTAACCAATGCAACACAAATGATAAAATTGTTGTCATTAAGAGTATATATCAGAGTCTTTGTGGAACTGTGACTAAATAACGCCATTACATGGAACAAATACATTTGGCTGAAGCTTTATCCTTTATTAGGATACAGGCCATCAAACACAAACTGTGGCTATTTCTGATGGTGGCCTGCGGAGTTTCCTACAGGAGCCAGTGCCCTTTGACAGTCAAAATAAAACAGTCATTAATGCAAATCGTGGCAAATAAATGAGGGAATGATGCAAAGGCTGATGGAATTGTATATAGAAATAAGGAGGTACCAACTGAGGAGCACTCAGTAGGTGGGACCTACTTACCAGGAAGTCGAGATATGGCTAACACAAGATTGTGGCACTTAGGAGTAACAAACACAAGACTTGCTTGCTGGATTCTACATAACACCAGTGAGCAATATCTCTGGAATGACTTGGGATTAGAAATGACAAAGAACTCAGCATGCTTCGCTTGAGAGGAGAGTGGAGAAATGGGCCTTGTGAGACAGAGGAGTGGGGAGAAGAGAGGCAGGTGGTCTTCATCCCTATGTCCAGCAAGGGTGAGAAAAGGCAGAAAGTCTGAAGAATGTGGAAAGAGACACAAACACAATTCCAGTGAAATAAGGACTAAATGTGAAGGCCAAATAGAGTTTGGCCTGCAAAATTTATTAAAAAGAGGATAGAGTTGTAGCTTGATGACACAGCTTGAATACCATCGTAAAGCAAAAATAGAGAAACTGAAAGACTATTTACTCAGAGAAAGGTTTAATGTAATGCTAGCTGGAAGAAAAGCCAGACAAATTCTCAGGAGAAATAGCATACCTTCTTGTCAAAGAGAATAATTAACAAACAAGCCTTAAAAGGAAGTGCTAGGCTCTGCAGCTCCTTGATGCCATAAAATCAAGGCTGGGTGTTCTTCTGGAAGATGTGTTTTACTCAGATAAATGTTACAGGACTCCATGTGCCAATAACAATACAATGTAAAGGTCCATGTTATATACAATCACTCATATTAAATGTTCTGATGGTCCTTCCCAGCTTTAAAAGGCCATGAATTAACTATTCTAAGTCCCAGTGTCGTGTTTTATTTGTGCTCAGTGGTAGATCCCATTGTCCTGCAGTCACGGTTATCGGCATTTTCAATCTCCTGTATTTCTGCATTTCCTGCCTGGATTTAAATGTAGAACGAGATTTCAGAGATTTACCCTTCCCTTGCTGGCTTACAGGGCTGTGCAGCCAATTGCAGGCTGCCTGTAATAAAGAAGTGATTCTCCTCAGCTTTTCTGAAGTGCTGGTCTTATAAGAAAAGAGACAAGCACACCACACACCATACCACAAGCAGCAGGCAGCTCAAAAGCTTGCCAGGTTGTCCTTTGCACAAGAAGATAAGAACCATTTTTCCCTGGTGTGAAGGTGTACTTATTATCTCCTACTTGACTGTTCTTGTGAAGGTCTAGATGAGCCAGGGGCTGGCACAGAATGGGTGCTTCTCATGCAGTCTGGTATGGCTCTTTCATCTGCTTTTCTGAAGCCTTATATCTCTGTGAAAATGAGCTTGCAGAACTGCCGAAGGTCAAAAAAGAAGGGCTGGTATTCTAGTGGCAGCTAGCAGCTTGTAATGAGTGTCTGCTTCTTCCTTCACCCAGGTTTTATCAGGCTTTGAATGAGTTTGACATCATGACCGCTGAGGACTCTACTGCAAGGATGAGCAACGATTCCACCAACGTGAGCACCACGAAAGTCCCTGAAGGTGTGGCCGGTGCGCCCAACGAGGCGGCCCTGCTGGCACTGATGGAGCGCACCGGCTACAGCATGATCCAGGAGAACGGGCAACGCAAGTACGGCGGCCCACCGCCTGGCTGGGACGGCCTGCACCCTCCTCGCGGCTGCGAAGTCTTCGTGGGCAAGATACCCCGCGATGTCTATGAAGATGAGCTTGTCCCCGTGTTCGAGTCTGTTGGCCGCATCTATGAGATGCGCCTGATGATGGACTTTGATGGGAAGAACCGCGGTTATGCCTTCGTGATGTACACACAGAAGCATGAGGCAAAGCGGGCTGTCAGGGAGCTGAACAACTATGAAATCCGCCCAGGCAGGCTGCTGGGTGTGTGCTGCAGCGTAGACAACTGCAGGCTCTTCATTGGAGGCATTCCCAAGATGAAGAAGAGAGAGGAGATCCTGGAGGAGATCGCTAAAGTGACGGAAGGTGTACTGGATGTCATTGTCTATGCAAGCGCTGCAGACAAGATGAAGAACAGGGGTTTTGCCTTTGTGGAGTACGAGAGCCATCGAGCAGCAGCAATGGCCAGGAGGAAGCTCATGCCAGGAAGGATCCAGCTGTGGGGACACCAGATTGCTGTCGACTGGGCAGAACCAGAGATAGACGTGGATGAAGACGTCATGGAGACTGTCAAAATCCTCTACGTGAGGAACTTAATGATTGAGACCACAGAGGACACCATTAAAAAGGTCTTTGGGCAGTTTAACCCTGGCTGTGTAGAGCGGGTGAAAAAAATACGCGATTATGCCTTTGTGCACTTTACAACCAGGGAAGATGCCATCCACGCCATGAATAACCTTAATGGTGTCGAACTGGAAGGCTCGTGCCTGGAGGTTACCTTGGCCAAGCCAGTAGACAAGGAGCAGTACACTCGCTACCAGAAAGCAGCAAAAGGAGGGGCTGCAGCAACACCCGAAGTAACTCAGCAACCTAACTATGTTTACTCTTGCGATCCATACACACTAGCGTATTATGGATATCCATACAATGCCCTGATAGGGCCCAACAGAGATTACTTTGTGAAAGGTTAGTAAGCACAATCAGGGGATGCGATGGGCAGATTTGATCTAAGGCTGGTGTGACCCTAGGTCTATCTGAAACAAAGGACAGCTGGTGCTTGGCTGTTTTCTTAACCACTCTTTTAGAGGTCTTTTTGTCATATTTATATTCCATTTCATTTTAATTTATGATCTTGCAGAGATAAAAGCTAATATACAGGCTAGCATCAGAACTACACAGACAGAATAAGCAAACAGACCAGTTATGGGGTGGAGAAGGGAGGGACCTGGTTTTTCTGAGCGTTGTACTAACACTGGCCAAATGGACAGTCCAAGGACTTTAGGTTCTGATGTCTCTTTCCAAAGAGCTGCATCCTAGGTATTAGGGATCATGGCAAAGGGTGCTCCTTCTGACTTCTTCTAGAGGTGTGGGTGCAGTGAGAACCACCTGGTAGACCTCAGCAACCAAAGGGAGGGGTGTCAGGAAAAGCCTGAGCTCAAAACTTACCAGATGTCATCTGTCCTCTACATTAAAATTACAGCAGTGCTGCATCCTTCATAAAGCCTATTAAAAACCATTTGCAGAAGGAATAAAATCAGTGCAAAACAATTATTTTATTATGTATACGTTAATCAGTTCTGGATTGCAACCATTATAAATAAACTGCAAATGCGTTATTCACTAATTCACTAAAAAGACAAACAAAAAACAACAAACAAACAAACAAAAACTAGTGGCTATTACTGTTATTATAATTATCCTGTACTTATAGGAACTATAGTTTCCTGAAATTTATTGCGCATTTCCAAACAAGAGGCAGAGTACATTAATACCACAATTTCCAAAATATTGTCATAAAGTGTGTGGTGTTGGAGAGGGGTAATCTTCACATGTACAGAGAGAAAACAAAAGACATTTATAAAAATAAATCTAGTGGTGTGACAAAGGTGGCTAAAGACTAGATAAAGCTTTGGGCTATCCCTGCATTTCTGAGAGATTGAGACTCCTCTGGAGGACAGCTGAGAGCGGAAGCTGTTTCCGTTGCTTAGACACCACCTCGGACGGAGCCTTTCTCTCCTTACTGTCTGTATTATACCTGAAAAACTGGACACAAAAGTTGCATCAGTACAAAAAAGCAGTTAATTTACCCTCAGAAATGTCAAGAGCAAAACTTATGTAATCTTACTGGGTGCAAACAAAGACAAAATCTTTTTTTTTCTGTAAGCAAAGTCACTCAGATCAAACTGGCTCCAGCAGTCTCATTCCTAAGCATGTGCCTCCCAGTTTCCCAAAGTCTGTTTGTATTCCCCATATTGCTGCTACTGTTTGTTGTTCACCATCTTTTTCTATGTTGTTATCATAAGCAGGCAGCATACGAGGTAGAGGGCGAGGCGCAGCTGGCAACAGAGCCCCAGGCCCCCGTGGCTCCTACCTGGGGGGATACTCTGCTGGCCGTGGCATATACAGCAGGTACCACGAAGGCAAAGGAAAACAGCAAGAAAAAGGATACGAGCTGGTACCCAACCTGGAATTACCAGCTGTCAACCCAGTAACCATTAAGCCTGGTGCAGGTCAGTATGTGCAATTGGGTAGGCTACATCTGCAGGATGGAAGGAATGTGGAGGTGGCAGGAGAGTTCTGAGACCATGGTCCAGGGCTGGCCCATGTGGCAACCCTGCTCTCTCCAAGTTTCTAAACTGTTAGTTTCACCCTGGGCAATTTCCCAACCCAAATTTCCAGAGCTCTCCCCAGTTCAGTTCTTGTTTCTCTACAAGGCTGGGAAGAGGAGCAGGTGCTTTCCTACTGCAGGAAAGTCCCTGGCTAAGGACAGTTCCTCCACCACCATCAGCAGCATGGGGAGCAGCGTGGGTGTCCTACTTACAGTCACACAGCTGAGATACAAACTGTGCTCTGCTGGGCTATGAGAAGCAGGCCCAGGGTCCAGCAAATTTTAACTGCACACCTAAGCAGCATTGAATACTACAGTTACAGTAGTTTACCAGAACAAGTTCCATACTGTCAGTGGAAATTACAACTGTCATCTAATGAGGGATGATTCCTTCGTAACAGAGGGATGAGATAATGTGAGAAGAAGCATTGAGGAGTGCTGTTAAAAGATCAGAGCCAAATCTTTAAAGGAAGATCTCTGGCTTCCTGAGAAAACTACCCACTCACAAACAGAAAATATTACCATTATCCGTGCTTGTAAAGATAATTCAGCTATGACTGAAGGATGACTGAAAAGTTGTCAGTTTTCTCCTTGAAACACACACTTGATTTTACCCTAGTATTTATCAGTGATGTCCATGTAGTGGTGTCCATTTGATTACCAAACAAAAGCCTGATTCTCAAGATTAAGTGTTTCTACATTTCCAGCACATTCAGATTCAGAAGTCTTCATCTGGTCTTCCCCTCTACCACTGCTCCAGCATAGGCCCTGAGTGCTGAAGCGCCATGCTTCTTTTTCCCAGCCAGATGAGCTGATCAGTTAAAAAGGCCATGTGCAAGACTGACCTCTGTTATCAAAAGGAAACTACTCTAAGATCACCTATCAGAATGGAAAAGTAGAGGTGTATCAACTCTGGAAACTTCTACCTCTTCAGAAATATCTCAAAGCTCAATTCCTTGCAAATGGTTAGGAAACTTCTGAGACATCACCCCAGTACCACAGCTGCCTGATTCTGCTTTTCTGCCAGAAGACACTACAGAATAGAGCGTGTGAGCTCTCTGTCTTTGCATCAGTGGGGCATTACCCAGGTTATTTAAAGCAGTGAAAAAATTGGTTTGAGCTGACCAGGTGAAATTGATCTATTAAGTTACCCCATCTTCCTTGTGAACGACTATCCTGCTGAAAGACTCAAGAACTGAAAGCTGAACTGCACGTTATGAGGCAACAACAGAATTACAAATGTGATTATTGGGAATGCCCAGCAAAACATATTTCTTCCCTAAACAGTGCAGTGAAACTCCATATAAGACCATGTACAAACTCAGGATCTCTGATACACACTCTGATTGGAGCATTTACCCTTTATCTGAAAGAAAATAGCTCTATGTATTTTGGATTGTCCAATTTTGGCACAAGGGAGAATTATAGTAAGACTAATTTTTTTTTTTAGTGCTGTTAAACAGATTGATACTGAAGCAGAAAGATAGGATATTAAGCCAATTTAGGCCTGGGAAATGTATAATAATACATTAGCTGGTATTTCATACTGTTGGCCAAAGGGCAGCATATAGACTGACCTAGTTTCCTGGTTGCTACTTCTACAGTAAAAACAGCACCTTTTTTTCCTGAAGCAGCCCCATGTCCTTTGATATCAGCAGCTAGAACAGAGATCTTGCCAGGACAGTAGGTGCTTCTTGACAGTAGGCCAGGGAGAGAGTGGTGATGGTCAGAAGGGGCTGCTTGAATCCAGAGCAAGGCCCTAGCCCTGGGACAGCCATGTCAAGGGGAGAACTACGGGGAAGAGCAGACAGCACCAAGCCCATCACCACACACATTTCAAGAGCATTGGCTTCAACCTGCAGGGGGGGCAGACTTGCTACCAGTCCCCAACTAGCTCGTGAGACTGCCTATTGTGGTGGGATCTAGCAGAGCCAAGAGTAAGGCTGTGTGTTCTTTGAGAATAGGCTCTGGAGACTCTTCTCCAGTAGGCCTGATGTGTCTGGTCTCTCTCCTAGTGGCCATCCCTGCAATCGGTGCCCAGTACTCCATGTTTCCAGCTGCACCACCAGCCAAGATGATGGAAGATGGCAAAATCCACACAGTGGAGCACATCATCAACCCTATTGCCGTCCAGCAGGACCCAGCCAGTGCAGCAGCTGCTGCAGCAGCCGCAGCCGCAGCAGTAATACCAGCTGTGTCAACGCCTCCCCCATTCCAGGTGAGTTCAGCGCAGACACCCCAATTCCATATGTTCTGCTCTGCATACCCAGGGCAGGGGAAAAGCTGCCTACAGCACTCTCTGACTGATGCTCTTGCTTGGTGCCTGCTTCTGTGGGACAGGGCTGTTGCTCAAGCATGACCCCACTGAGATCCTCACATCCCACTGCAGCTCTTGTGTTGATTTCTACTCCCATTACTTTGTCCTTTCTTTCCAACATGCAGAGAAGTTCATCTCACATAACCTGAGACTTTCCCCCAGTGGTTATGTCTGGCACCTGAGCCATACACCTGCCTTTACATGGAAAAACTTCCTTGGTAATCCAACCCAAACCACTCTATGTGTCACAGAAGAGCAGGCACCCCAAAAGTACTGTTCATTTGACCTGTCTTAGACATCTGCACTTTGGACAGTTGTTTTTACTCTATGAAGGACCTAAATTTGGTAGGAAGAGGAGAGTCCCCAAGAGGACATCTCACTGTAAACGCAGTAGACAAGGACAGGAAGATAGACAGTGTGGATGTTGAGTGAGACACACAGGGTAGTCTGGATTGGGTGCACGTGAAGGGTATCCAGTCCGACTGGTGCCATGACAATGGGGAGCCTGTTACAGTGCCTGTCCACATTCTGGTGAAGAACCTTTTCCTAATCCTCAACCTGACCCTAGCACTAGGCCTGCTTGTGCTCAAGGACTGTTTGAATTATGCGTGATTTGGCTGTGAGGCTGCCCAGTGTGGAGTCAGGAGTTGGACTGGGTATCCCTCATAGAGTCCCCTCCAACTCAAGACATACTGCAATTCTCTGATTTCAGGGCCGCCCCATAACCCCAGTGTACACCATGGCCCCCAACGTGCAGAGGATCCCCGCTGCCAGCATTTATGGGACAAGTTACGTGCCGTTTGCAGCACCCGCTGCAGCAACAGCAACGATAGCCACTCTACAGAAGAATGCCGCCGCTGCTGCCGCCGCCGCTGCCGCCTATGGGGGCTATGCTGGCTACATACCTCCGGCCTTCCCAGCTGCCACCATCCAGGTGCCCATCCACGACGTCTACCAGACGTACTGAGACTGTCGGCAGAGAAACAAACACTGAAGGAACACTTTACTATTTATGAAGAATGCGCCTGCTGCAGGAGAGTAATGTCAGGACTCAGTAAACTGACGCAGAACCTGAAAGTGAAGAATGTCACAGAAAAACATGTTCAAAATGTTTTCTACGCTTGAAGTTTTCACTAACTTTTTTTAGGCTATTTTTAAAATTTAACATGCCTGTATTCATACATTTCTAAACGACTTTGATGCAGCCACCCGTCACTTATGTGCCTTTATATGCATCACAGTGGGGTTGCACAGGGTCCTTTTTTTTAGCAGTTATATTTTCAATATATTTGTGGTATGAAGGTTATTTTTAGTAACTACTGCACTCCAGAGATGTCTATTTTGTAGTGCCTTTAATAATATATCAGCTATATATTAAGAAGCACACCCGAGCAGCTAGGGAAAGTTTAAATGATATATTTTGAAGAATATATTCAATATTTAAAGAATACATTCCTTAGATTTTTTTTTTTTTTTTTTTTTTTTTTTTTTTTTTTTTAAAGAAAAGAAAAAAGCAACAAGTATCTTATTTAAGAAATGTTATACTGGAAAGTGCAATTTGAAAAACGTGCAAGACCTCTGCGTTTTTGTGCTGGCATTAATACAGTCTGTTTGTTACTGTCTGAAATCAAAAGTAATTCATATTGCCTTTGTAGGAGGAACAGAAAGAAGAAAGCCTCCTCACGCGAAGCCCTTTGCAGTGTGATTAGCAGGCTTATGATGCTCAAAGGAAAGGCTCAAAGTTTTCCTCAACAACTGGAATTTTTATTTATTGAAGCTACCTGTCTCAGAGCACATGCAGATACGTGCACCTCGTATTTTGCGTAAGACGTCTCGACTTCGATCTTCATCCAGTATAAAACCCAGGCTCTTTTTAAACGCTCTTTATTTTATTCTTTGAAGTATATGCTGTAGTGACTGAGAATGTATGCTGTTGTAGGCAAGAGCACGCCCGCTCCTGGCAGCAGGATGCGCGGTGCTACTTACCTATAGCTTCATCACGTCCCATGAGAAATTTCCGAGGTACTGGGGGTGGTGGTGATACTGGAATTGACACAGCAATGCTGGCGTCCCTCCTGGCGTCCCTTCCACACCGACTCCAGCTCCCGCATCTGGAGCTCTGTGTGCACATCAGGGATGGGAAGGATTGGACCCAGGCGTTTTAAGATGTAGAGCTTGTAAATACCTTTTAATATACTTTTTAAAAGTCATTTTATGTTGCAAATTTACATGGTATGTGGTTTGCCACAAAACAAACACAGTTTATTTTGATGTTGTTAAAAAAAAGAAGTTTGTTATATTAAGGAGTAAATATATTATTGCAGTGTTTTGTGGCCTGTTTAAAGGCTTTTATTTAGTAGTGCAGTGAATGTAAAACATGGTAAAACGTTAAAGAAATATCTCACCCATTTTATGAAGTGTATCAACTCTGCAATCACAGCTCCAGCAAAGGGAGGTGTGGAGCAGTGAGTGAGTAAACAATTTTGCTTTGCTTTTAGTGGTATAAATACCAGCTGAAGGGGTTTCATATAAAGTATATTTTAACAACAGAACCACTTTCGGATCATCTCCAGCTTAGTAAAGTGACCTTTTAACGCATATTTTTCTTGCCTCAAAATGGAGCAGTTGTTTTTAGGTGCTCTTACTCAGCAAAGCTGAGCTCTATTTAAACCTGTCCAACTGCTATCAAAAGCACTGAGGAAGTTAACCATTAAGTCGGACTCTGACCCTCCGTGCCCCTTCCCTGGAGGCTTTTGCCATCTGTCCCACAGCTTCTGAAAACAAAATTCTTAGCCCCCAAACCCTCATTCCAAACACCGTGCCTGTTTTTAGGGTGATGGGAGGTGAAGCAGGCAAAGCCTTGCCAGAAGACCCTGGCGGGAGTACCCAAAAAGTGCTGGGGGCTCCAGCTAAGGCTTTGTACAGCTCAGTGCTAACTGCCACCATGGGTCACAGCCAACCTCAATGTTGTCCAGGCACTGCAGGCTCTGCTATCCCCTTTCCAGCTCCTCCATCACAACCATGGACAACCCAGAAGAGTGTCAAAGGGCAGTGGTTGCTCTCCCAACCATCCTCTCCCCACTGGCCCCTGTTGCTTGCATCAGGGACAAAAAGGAGCCCAAAGAGGCAAGCCCCTAGGCCACCACGCCAGGGCAGGAGCAGGCAGGACGTGGGAACGCAGCCTCCCACCCCCATCTTTCCACTTGCTTCTAAACCATTTCATGTACACTACTACTGAGGTAAGTCTGATAACTTGAAATGTGAACGTCTTTAGGTTAAGAACAAACTGTTCAAAGAAATATATATATATATTATAAAAAAAAAAAAAAACTAGTGTGCCTTATTCTTGAAAGAGCTGATATTTTAGGTGTTTTATTGTATCTCTGTTTTCTGTATTGTCAGAAGCCTCTGAATTTATTTAGTTCTTGCTCCATTTACGGTACATTTCTAGGACATAGTGAATAAAGCATTCTATAAAAACAGAGACTGTTAATTTATTGCAACATCCTACTGCCAGGTGGGCTTCCCTGTGGGCAATGTGTCCCCTCCTGGCTGGGCAGGTTCTCGGGGCAGGAGGGGAGCAGGGAGCCACAGCCAGCATCCCCACAGGCTCCTTGGGAGCAGAGATGGGTTGAAGGACAGTGCTAACCCCAGCACATGCACTGGGTACCTCCTCAATTATCCAGCAGTTGTGGATCAGCCTAAATCTCTTCTGAAACCCAATTTAGAATCCATGCCTGGATGCAGACGGAAGAGCTGAAGCTGCTGTTTCTCTGTGCTTTCCACTCACTTGCTGCACAAGACCACTACAACCCTGGGCAGAAGCTCTGGGAGCTGGCAATGGGGTGCTCTGTTAAGAGAAAGCCCAACATCACTAACCTCTCAGCATGCTTCAGCCCACAAACACAGCCCTTCCATGAAGAACAGATCACGGGACTGCACTTCCTGGAAGCAGTCCTACAGACTACCCGTTTGTTTCTTTGCTGTAAGCCCATCTGAAGATTGTTGGGTGCATATACCAAGCCTTGGGACAAGGGCAGTGTGAGAGAGAAGAGCTAAACCCTAAGGCAGAGCAGAAAGAAGGTTACCACTAGTGAATAATCCCAAAAAGGAGACCAGAACAAATACTGCACAAGCTTCTATATCCTTCATTAGGACTAAAGTGTATCTGCAACTTCCTGTCTTTAAGCATCACTTCTCATAATGCAATTAAGTCAAGACATCCCATGTTAATGTCTTGGTTTTCCTGGAAGATACTAATAATGAGACATTTCCCTACCGCTTTTTTGTTTGTTTGTACTAGGAAAGTGGTTTTTGCTTGTGGGTTTTTGTTTTTTTTTGTTTTTTATTTTGTTAGGACTTGGGAATGGGTAGAAAGACACCTAATTTTGCTTGCTATGTCTAAACATTGTAAGTTTGGTTTAGGAAGTCTGTACATTCCACTAAAAATGACCAGTAGCGGGTCTCCATATCTTACTTAGTAAAGGGTTAATCATCACAGTGCTAAAAGCAGTTTTTAAGGAGATACAGCCACATCAGAACTTTACCTGTCAGGCAAACAGTCAGGTCAAACAGGAAGACTAATGCCTTTCCTGCAGTTCCTTCTTGGCCTCCCCACTCACCACCCCTGTGGGCATCCAGCTAAGCCATGCACTTCACAGGCATCAGCTTTTTACAAGCGTGATGAAGGACTGACTGCCTCACTAACACATGGGTCTGGTTCTCTCATGGAAATTTTCCTCTTCCCTTTATCTATCCTAAATTAAAATGATTCTACACAGCATGCTCTGACTTTCTCTGAACAGACATTTCACGAGAGAATTTATTATTTTCCTAGATTTATGGTTTCTTATTTCAGCTTTGTAAGATCATAATTAATGATTAACCCATCCAAAGCTCAAACATGCGAGTCATTCTGGAGATATTAACATAAATAACACCAGAGAAATGCAATCATGCTTTTAAAATGACCTTGTTGATCCAAGAATGCCAGGAGCTCTAGCGAGGCCTTGGGCACTGCGACAACTCAAAATGTTGCTGAGTTGATCTCATTCCCTTTCTGACCACATTTCTTAATGGTCTTGAAGAGCAGATACACACTGCTCTAGCTGGTGTCAACTGCAAGTGCTAAAAGCAGCTTTGAATTTTTTTTCAGAGAACAGCACACATTGATATCACTGTGACACAAGCAACCGTATAGACAGATTACCAAGAAATTCAAGTGGACTTACATCTCTCTGATATTGCAACATCTTATATATAAGAACTGGAGAGCTCAAAGCATACGCAAAATGCATTTTTAGTGCCTCTAGAAGGTATACACAGGATCCCATGTCCTGCTTTGTGACTGGTGCTACTCGTGTGGCATTTCTGTTCCCGGTCCTCAGCAGCTACTGGCAGAGCTCACTGTTCTCGATGCCTATCAGCCTCAAAAGTGACCCATCATGCTGATCTGTAAAAAAAATAAATCCAAGACCTACCTCATAGCAGGGGAAACTACCTCTGCTGTGCATCTGAAAGTCAGCAGAGCCAGGTTTTATGCTCCAGTGTGTCACTGAAATGCTGGATCACATTTGACTGAATTTCAGTGTTATGCTCTGCTTAGAAATGAAACTGCACAAGGGGAGTTACAGGGAGAAGCTGTAAGCAAGGAAATGAAAAAAAGCAAGTTTGTGGCACACAGTCATCCTTTCTTAACACAGACAGACTGCACATCATACACCACTCCAAAGAGCAAAGAGAGTATGAAATTTTTTTTTCATTTGGTACAGACCAGACTGTAGAAGTACTTCCGTATAAAATACTCCCTGTCAAGTTGATGAATTAGATCCATTTTTTTTTTTTTTCCTCCAGACAGAAGGCCAGGAGATTAATGGTTTTCTGACATAAGAAGACAGAAGACCAACCCTGCAGCAAAATTACAGATCTGCTTGTAGGAGGTGTGCAGTCAAGGGCTAACTCTTCATTACAAGACTGGGCAGGAAACAGTTCAAATGTGCTTGGATCTGTCCCATGTGCACCAAGACCTGAGATCCCAACACGATGACATGATGACAGCTATCACAATCTGAAGAGGCTGCACTGGGAGCCCCATGATGAAGGAAGCTTCTGCTCCTCACAGTCCCCTTCTACCACAAGGGAAGACCACCGGCCTGCATCCATCCCTGCTAAAAAGTCCTGCTATCAATCCCATGGGTTACTATGGAGGCAAGATCACAAACTCAGCTCTCGGTTGTAGGTTTGTGCCCACTCAACTGTTCCTGTGCCTCTCCATGTGACGAGACTGTATGGTGGTCACCAGTCAGAAATGGTGGTCTGCCTGTCCACGGCTGTACTTTTACTTTGAACCATGGCATGCTTTTATTCCTTTTTTCTAAACTCTTTCCAACAAACACATTCGATTTTTGTCAGAGGTGAAAGACTCGGGCTGTACTTTGAGCCTTGTACATGTTTGTAATGTCACTGAAGATCTGTGTCAGCTTGGCCGCTGAC